GATCAAATAAGTCCACTTTGAATTCCTTTTTCTTCTTTTTAAGAGGCTTGATCTTCAGTTGCTTCTTCAAATAAAGTCCTACATAATAATCTCTTGTCATTTTCTCCTTGTCTGTTTTCATGCTTCCCTTCTGTGGATCCAAAATAAGATGATTCTCAGAGTCACTCTTCTGATTTATAATCTGAATATCCTCTTTAATTGTTAAAACATCATCTAGCATAACTTGTAGGTCCCATGGAGCTTCTTTCTCCATGACACTCTTACAGTCAAACATTTTTAAGTCCCTTTTCAAATCCACAACATTTTCTTCCATGACTTCCACATCTCTTTTATACTCTGACAATTTTTTAAAGTCTCTTTTAAGATCCCTGTTCAAATCATCCTCAGCCTCTGTTTTGTCCGATAAAATCTTTTCTTTTTCTATAACCTCTGTTAACTCTACTTTAGGAGTATCAAAAAGTTTTAAAGATAAGTCCTGAACACATTGTTCCCAAACCAGTTTAAATTCTTCTATAGTAAGATAATGTTTCTCCATTATAAGTATCTTCTCCTTTAATTGCTGTCTGGTTCCCTCTAGTTAACCTTCAAAGCCCAGTCCTATCTTTTGTTTCTTTTCAGAGTCAAAACTGTCCCGCATTAAGGTTTCTTACAGTTAATTCCAAAATCTTCAGCTGTATTTTTATAAAATTTAAAACAATCTATAAAAACTACTTTTTCAAATCCATCTGACTCTTTAACTGTCCATAGTCAAGATTCTAAACTTCTTTTGCTGTTTCAAAAGTTAAAGTTTTTTTTCCTTTTTAATCTTTAAACTTACTTAAATATACTTTCTTCAGGAATAGAAGGAAATTCTCCCAGTATGCAGCAACTTGCCTTTCAGAAGGTTTTTAACTCCAAATAAACTGTTAATAGGTAGCTTCCTTTGTCAATTAAAAGAGGAAGTGTATGTGAATCTAGTGTCTTTTTGAAGGCTCCGAGCCGTGGCTTGGGCTTGATGTTTCCTGCAACTCCCAGAGTGCTCAACCTGCTGGAGATTGCTAATTTGCGACCTCTTCACAGGGAGCCTCTGTAAGGAGTACTTGTGGGTGATCTAATTATCTCCTTTGTCTGGAGATGGTTCCGAAGAGCTGGATTCTTCATTGGCTTCTTTTAACCACCGTGGCAGTCAGTTCCACAAAAACAGAGCCATCTTAAATCTACCATTACTTCCATGGAAGCCCAGGAAAACAGAATTCTAATACCTCCAGAGGACATCAGATTGGAGAAGATTGATCTTACCAGATCTGTGTAGAGGGAGGTAAGGAAAAATCTTTTCTGTCCTCTGTCCTCAACTTGTGGGATAAGAGGCGGTTAATTTGGAAATGTGACATGGGCAACTGAATTCACCTATACTTCCTTACTCCAAAAGATTTGTATGATTGTAATTTAAACAGGCACAATCTGAGAGCATGAAATTCTGGATTCAAGTTCTGCATCAAGCACTATCCTATGGAACCTCAGTGAAGTCAGCAATGTATGAAGAATGTAGGTCAGTACTGAAAATAGTTCACTAGAATGCATTAATGAATTTAAAAAGAGATTCATTGTTGACCTGAATTAGAACTATAGGACCAAATCAGAGCAATGTATCTTCTGTATTAACTTCTAGTTCCCAGTTATAAAATGTAAATTTAATTTTTATTCCCAACCTCATAATTACAACCAACAATATATGTATGTTTTAATTGTGAGCTGCCCAGAGTCACCCTCTGGGGGAGATGGGGAGCAATTTAACAAATAAATAATTATACACACACATTACAAGACAGAAATAAGACAAAAGCTATCTAGTCTAGAATGTTTCCTATAATGGCCACTAGATTTTTCTGGGATGTCCCAAGCACGGAATATAAATCCTTCCCTGCTAATGTATCTGAGCAAGTAGGAATAGACGGTGAAAGTATTTGTGCAAAATTAAAATACGTCATCATGAATAAGCCAATTTATATTGAACTGAACATGTTTTGGAGAAATTATTGAACATTCTCAGAGACTTATACAGAAGTAAGATCACAAACATGCTATACATTCATGTTTCCACTTAAAACAGATTTCAAAATGCATAAAACACATACAATATATTCAAAATTGAAATGGTATATTTCTCTTGATGGAAAGGAAGTAAGTTCTTAGTTTCTATTAGTTATTATGCATGGATGAGATTGTCCTCTAGCCATTTTAAAAGTTATTCAAAGTTACAACATAAATATATCTGTTTTACACTACTTGCATTCTTCTTAAAGATCAGCCTTGAAGAAAGAAAGAAATATTTCTGAAACTTGTAGGGTTCAATCAAACTGCAAAATGCATGCTCTTTTTGTATCCCAGCAACAAGTACTCAGAGGTATGTATCTCTGCTGGGGATAACATGTAGTCAGCAGGCCTTTGACAGCCTTATACGCAAAGGCAGGGTATAGCCCAACAGATTTAAACTCCTAGCATTCACTGTCAGCACCAGAGGCTTTGGCTTCTGGAAACTCAGTTTTATAATATTTGGAAAGTCACAGATTCCTTGCTCTGATCTCTATACCTAAGAACACCATCTGGCAACAGGTTGATCCACTTCTATGGATAGATTACAATAGATTCACAATGAAGTATGACTCCATAGTTTAAAAACAGGAACAACAACAATAATGGGTTTCCTCTACTTTTTCCTCTGGAAAAGGTGGTGAAAGTTACAATCTATAATGGTTTGTCTGAGAATTAAGCATATTGAAGTCAATGGATCTCCTGAATAGACAGAATTGTAGGATTATACTGCAAAACAAAACAAAACAAAACAAAACAAAACAAAACAAAAGCTCAGGAAAAATAGGAATGGATTTATGTGTGAAAGAATTGGGAGTTCATGGAATACAAAAGAAACTATGATTATGTTAAAATGATGACACAATTATGATGATGTAAGTCATGACATTTGCTTTATGACAGCATGACACAAATGTTATTATTTGCCCCCTTTTTGTTTTCCCTGTGTATACCCATGCATGCTGGAATTGAAAAAAAAACCAGGCTGATCATTTCCTTTACCTACATCCCCAATATGGACACCAATGTGGTGAAAGATACTTCTACAGGCATTTGTCTGGTTCTATGCACAACAGATTATTTTTTACTTCAATTTGTTTAATAAAAAAATTGGGAAGATTGCATATTACAAAACAAAGTGCCAACCTCAAGCATAATCTTTGTTTTTAAGTATGATCTTGAGCCACATAGACATGCTTGGGAAAATGAAATAGCAGACTTCAGCCCAGTTAAGAAGGCAGCCATGATGGTGCCATGAAAGCTCCACCTGCTTTTTACATGCAGCACCCATAAACAACAGGCAGAGCTTCAATCACACTGTCACAACTATCATTTTTTCACCATACCCTATGGATATCCCTGCTTCAGCCCAATATTCTGTCTGAAAGTGTGTCCATTTGTCTAGAAAAGAACATCCCACAAGACTGAAAGAGGGACAGGAATCAGTGGCACTAGTTTGCCTTTTGGTATAACATGTGCCGTGTATCTTGTGACTGGACATGCCCATCATGACACCCATTTTGTAGACGTGTCTATAATTTGCCTTCAGAATTTTAGATGCGTTCACTGGCCCAGAAGGATTGGAACTCCTGCCTTACAGATCTGCTATCCCTGAGTTCACTCATTATCCTAAGATGTAACCTGGTTTGTTGGCTTTTGGCTTACTGTGGTAATTCCATTAATAGTGGTTTATTGCATGAATCCAACCAATAGTGGTAAGCAAACCATAGCTTCACTGATGGTGTTCATGTATTCTGCTCTCCCCAGACATTATTTTACCCTTGGCTCAGGTTGGTGGAACTCAATGTTCTGGGGGAAAAAAGCAAAGCAGACCCTGCCTGTGACGCTGAAGGGTTTTTTGTAGTCAGAGTATCCATTTGGCTTAATTACGTTTCAGAGCTTATGACCTGGATATGTCCTTCCAAGCTGTTTCTGAAGAATAAATAGGTTGTTCATAAACAGGACAACCCTGCATTCTCTCAGACTTTCAGTAAGCATGAGGTAAGGGGAGGATGAAACATTAGAAGTCAAAGGTCAGGAACCATCTTGGGCCTGCTCTGCTGAAGCACTTCAGATGGCTGTTTGTCCCAAAGGCTTGGAAACAGTCCACCGACAGGTTTCCTGCCAGGAGGTTTGTTACTAGAGAAGTCTGACTGCAGCAGGATTTCATTACAAAAATTCCCTTTATTCTTTCGATGACTTGCAAAGCGACCCCATATCCCAAATATATTTTTAAATACTCTTTGGGGAAGACATACAGATTCATATCTCCAGAAATATTTCATGCAATATATTGATGGTCAGGGATCTAGATCTAAATCTAAATCTAAATCGGTGCTAATACTTACTTTATAGTTCACACTACGAGCATGTCAGCCATTTATTATTATTTATTTATTTATAATTATTTATTATTTCTTATTACCAGCAGGAATAAACTGAAATGACTCTTCCAAATGGTGCAAGTGCAGCTTTACTCAGCTTTACTTATTTCGTACCTTTCCCCATCTTCTTACACACACCAGCGTGAACATCCAAATGTTACAGACGGATGGCATGGCTCTCTCCTTGTTGCCTGCTACATTGTTACTACTACTTCTTTTTAGAATCAGAACATTATTCCACAACTCTCTTATTTATGAAACACAGTTGAGAATGCAGCCTTTCTCAAGGATACTTATTAAAAGGATTTCCTTCTTTCCATTTAAAACATAAATCAATTGCTTTACTGTATACCCTGCATTTCTATTAGCACTGAAAACTCGAGGTGGACTTCCCAGGCTTAGGCCCACTACCTTTTTCAGTGAAATAGAACAGACCCCCTACTTTCCCTTTTACTTTTACCAGGGCATCTACGGGGGGCTCAAAAAAGTCAAGGTGGCAGTTTCAATCACATGGTTGTGGTTGCCATCTTGACTTTTCTTAACCCCACCCCCCACCCCAACCGGCAAATGCCCTTGTTACCAAACTGTGCTGTGGCAGCAGGACAAATCTCCCAAAAAGGAAGCAAAACAAAGCGAAGCAACAGTTAACCAAAGCCAGCAGCTGATTAGCCTAAATCAGCAGTTAACCTAATGCATCCAGCCTGGGCATCAGCATACCCACTGACTGGCCAGAAGGTGAAGGCTCATGTTGCCTTTTTGAATCCCTGACTAGTCCATGGACATTCAACAGAATCTATTAGTTTGGGCTGCCAATGTGGTCCTTCCCTCTTCCTGCTTATATTTTTCATTTCGAAATTGCTTCCTCATAGGAAAAAAAAGACCTCCACCTATGAACACTTCCCATATCTTTATGGAAAAAATCTATACTTGTTGATTTTTTTTAGGAAACTGTATGCTAAGGCCAGACTGAGTATGACTTGTTGTGGTTGACAAGATCGACCACTTAAGCTGTTGGAGCAGAGTCCCATTCAAATTGACCAGCCCTCACTGTTTTCTGCTCTTTCAGACTTTTTATTACACATGCTGCTGGCCTTTCAGAACATGCTCAACTTGATCAGCCTATTTCTTTTTAAATGGTTGTTTCTCTCATTGTTATGGGCATCTTCTTCATTTTGGCCTCTAATTACTATTGAGTATAATTACTATTGAATGGATCTCAACTGGCTGTTGTTTTTGTAGACCCATAGTAGACCTTTCTTACTTTTTAAATCACATTCTTTCAGCATCATTCCTTCTTCCTAGTTCTTTTCTATGGAAAAAAAAAAATTTAGACAGGGGTTTCACCAGCTGAAATCTTCCAGCAACATCAAAGGTTATTGGGTCACATATCATTACCTAGTCCATTCTTGTTTAACCTCCCAAGATTGCTATAAAGATTAAATAAATGTGAAAAGTCAGCCATAAGTGATACCCTGAAATCTTTTGCAAATTAAATTATTCATAATAGCTTTGCACTGTAAGGTAGGATCACAACGTTGAAAAGTTAGAAGTTTGGCTTAACTATGTATCCCCCCCTCTTCTTTTTCATCTGAACAATGGACTTTCATTTTGATTTTCAGGCTGTGCTTTGCCAGTTTCCAGTTCTCACTGATCATTGGCAGGGAATCCATAACAATGGCCAACAGGAAGTCACCTGCATTTTCTTTTTGGTTTTTCAAAAACTAATGTGTAATATTAATTCAGGTAAGCCTATTTGTTAATTGTCTAAGTGTGATGAACTAAATAAATAACAAGGTGATCTGATGCTATTCATTTTGGGCTATTCATACATTTTGTAAGCCACTGTGGAAAAAATACGTTATTTTAATATGTACTACTAACTGAACACAATAAATTTAGATACTGTTTCCTCTTGTGAAACAAAACAATTTTTCTACCTATAATGTTGTCATATTAAATCTCCAAACTCTACTGTAGATAAAAAGGGTAGCATCATTCCCCCCTCCCCCTGCAAAGGGCTCCATGGGCCAGTCTAAGTACAATTAAGTATCATTTTTCTCAACTCTGAGTTTAACTTTTCAATTTTTTTTAACATTCATTTGAAAGTAAGTATAATCGTGAAGTATGCATAGTGTTGCAGCTTTAATTTTTAATTACATTTATTAATTTCTTAAATTTAAAATTAATTTTGGTATATTAAAATTTGGTGTATGGTTTTTGAAATGTGTCATACTTAATCTGACTTGCTTGGATGATTTTAGACAAAACATTCAATCTTTTGCTATTCACATAACTTTATGTAGTGCCTAGGTATTGTTATGTTCTATTTTTAACTTACTCCAGGCTCAATCAGTTTCAGAAGTAACTAATAGTTGCAGTGTAATTTTGATTGGCAGGAAGCATCTTCCCAATGCATCCTTTATCCTCTCTTCATGCTCGATGTAAAGTTTAAGAAATACGTTGTATAGAAAGGATTTTAAAAAACCAAACAACTTCTTTACTGACTGTAAAAAAAACATGATTGAAATGGATATACTAATTTATTTTCATGAAATATTTTCATATTTCCAGGCAGAAATATGCCAATTCTGTCTTTAATTACAATGGCTAAATCCCCTATTTGTCTCAAAGGGTAATACTAGAATGTTATGATAACATGTTAACTTTTAAAATTTCACTCTGAAAATCTTATAAAACGAAGAGTTTCTGCCCACATGCTTTGTATGTGCTGTTTTTAATAATAAAAAATAAAATGAAAGCAATGAATGATTCAGCAACTACCACAACGCTTGAAGTGTATGTTGTAATCTAGAATAACTATGATCAAGCATATTAGCATATATGTGAAATGATTTGTTATGATACAATATCTCAGTACTTTTTAATCTGTATAAAGCATGCAACGAATATGCCTAAACCTTGTGGAAATTTCCAAGGCTGTATCACAATGGTGGCAGTCATTTTTGGCTCTTATCAATATAATACATTTGAAGTAATCTGATCTCACACTGAAATCTATCATTAAACACCTAAATGAACAAAAAGGTAGTATCATCATAATCAACATTTGTATGGGAGCAACAAGTGACTCTGGGCTGTAAACAAAAGTAAAAGGCTGTGAAGTAAAAACAATTGCAACAATGCAAAAAATAAAGTACATAGAAGATTGTGGAAATGGAAGTGTGTAATCAGATCAACGACAAGAATGCTTGGAAAGCGATTGCAGGACAGTAACAGGAGCTATTACTGGGGTGCTTTTTTATTTCATTGTTGTTTTTCTTTCAGCAGAAGTTCTATCAGCTGGGGAGGGTTGTTCTCGTCTTTGAAGCTGGCTTTTGTTTCTCTGAAGTCAGATTCCTTATTCCCAGGACTCCACTCTGCAGTGCCAGCACAAACACACATCAGCAGCTGCACACCGCTTTCAAAAGTTAGTAAGAAGCTATCAAGCAATTACTTATTCCACTTTAGATCTAAGCCTGTGATTTTACGTTACGGATCTAAGATTTAAGGAATGAAAAAAATCAAAGACAATAAGTAAAGTCAACAACTGCAGAAAGAAGATTCATACCTCCGTTTAATTGGAAATTTCATATTCTGTAGATGAGCCATGCTAGCAGGATAACCTCCATTAAATAGTTTGGATTAGATGTTTAGATCCTAATCTACAACTGGGTTGGATCCACATTTAATTATGCTTTCTGTGGGTTTAACTCTGAGTATGACTGAATGGGGTCCAATGTATTATACCTTATCAGAATGCATTCTATCTGTTCCAGGCTAATTCACAAATCTTCCAAGTGCCATAGGCACTTTCACATCTATTAGTCTTTTTAGTCTTCTTCATCTTAGCTACTTAAGCTAAGTGTGAAAGTTGTTAATATGTTCCCCCATACCACTTTGCCAATGCAGAACTATACATATCTATTTGAGAAGAAACCCCTTTGAGTTCAATGGATCTCATGCCCACTTACATAACGGTGGATTTTTTTTTCCCCTAAAATAAAATGGCACAGAATTGTAACCTTAAAATCAAACACTTACTCTTTTCAATTGAATTTTGGGTGAAATCATCTTTAATGACAATGTGAGTTATCAATACAAGCTGAATATTCCACAGTGACATGTGACCTCAAGGAAGGAACACGAGAGCCATTCATTCTTAATCATATGTACATGAGAGATGTTACAATAATTTTTTTCATTAACTGTACTTTTCTGGCTGCTTTACTAATTTATTTTAACAAGGGAAGTGAGACTTTAGGAATGCACATGACAGGTCTGATAAATTGCAGGTGTTAATTATGGCTGCTGTAAGAGGGAGATTATGGTAAAGTCTCCTTTAAGTTGAGCTTTACTTCTTCTAACTTCATGGGGAAATTCATGTAGTTTTCTTGGCAACAAAATGGAAGTGGTTCTCCATGACCTTCTTCTGGCATACATATTGACTTTCTACTCTTCTCTAAAGTTCTGGGAGTCCATGGCATTCTCCTTTCCAAATAATAAGCAGGCCCGGTTCTGGTTATCTTTTGAGCCCAGACAAGGTTGGCCAGATACTGCCATCTGCTGAGAGTCCAGGAAGAAAGGTAAATTAAAAATGCAAGACATATAGTACATAAATAATAAACTCGGGATACTTTTTAGTTTCCAGAAAAACTTTCTTAAAACTACCTTCTCGGTCATCTTGTCTGTTCAGGAGCAGTATGGAAGATATATATTGAAAATGGCAGTGCTTGGGTTTGGTTCAGAGAAAGCCAAAGGTCTCAAGCATCACGGATACGACGCCTCCAATACTGTCACTGGTTAACAGTTTTCACTGTGTACAGTGACCCAAGAATAATTGAAGCAGTGAACCAAAATGTGTAAGTAAGCAAAGCCTGGAAATGTTGCAGAGGTAGTTGATCAAGAATCCACGATTTCTGAAACAGTCTTAAGCATTACTGTATTATTAAAAGAGAAAGCAAGACAGCAGCATTATGTTAATTTTACTTTCTAAGTAACCAATTTCCCACTCTAAACGTGGTCTATATGCGGGTTCATTTTTAAATCTAGCTCATGGACACAAATGTGTATAATAGGGCTGGACTTCAGATTCAACATCCAAAATGTGGTCTGGAGCTTTAAACTCCATCCTCTGGAAAATCCTAGTGCAGTTAAAAAAAAAGGGAAAAGCAAAAGGAAAAGTAAAGAGATTTCTTCATTTAATGTTGGTGTGGGCTTTACTTTAAAAAAATGAAGCAAAGAAAAAATGGGTATAGAACTTCAAGATAGACTCAACGTACCCCAAACATGGCTGTCTGGGGTGTGTGTGTGTAAAATCAAGATGACCGTGACTGTGTGATCAAGGCCTCATCTCTTTTTTATATGTATCGATATTTATCGCAGGTAAAAAGAGGCAGGGCTTTGATTGTGTGGCTAAAGCCAGTACTGTATCTTGTGTTTTTTTTACCCTCCACTTTGCAGATACCCTAACCCCCAAAAGTAACAGTATCACAAAAAGAACCTTCCCAAATCTCAGAACTGTGTGAAAATTCTGGCACTGCCTAAGTTTATGATGGCAATGTGTCACTGCCATATCTAAAGCCCCATTTGGTTGCTGAAAATGTTTAATAAATAGCAAGCAGGCTTTGGCTGCTGAAAAGTTGGCCACATCTGATTTAGCTGGGTATTTCATCTGCTATTTCTTTTGAAACCTGCAAAAATACACAAGATGAAGATAGAGAATTCTTTTCTCTTGTGATGTGACTGATGGAAGTGCTGGGAGACTACCTGTGAGACACTATTTTGGGCAAGCAAAATCCCAGGAAGGTATGACCATTGCTTGAGCATAATGCACTGCAAGCTTGGTCCTATGCAGAATCAGTTCCCAAACTCTTCTGACATTTTACATCACCAAGTCTTCAAAAATGCACATGGTGACCCACAGTAATCTTCTTCGTTGTAGAGACTTTTTCTGTCCAGTGAATTATAAGTCTTCTGCTGAATATATTTGCTTGGAGGGCTTAAAAAAGGGTGGCACAATGAATTTTTAAAAGTCCACTTATTCAATTATTTTCATATAGCAAGATCAGGTTGCTACACTTGGAAAATGGCAAGATAAGTTCAATATTTATATTTTTTAAACTTTCAGAGATTTAATCTCTGAAAATTGGACTCATTTATTGCATATTCTCTTTCTCTTACACACAGCTATAAAAGCATATGTACTGTAGAATATATCTGTATCTCTTTCGACATAATCAGGCTGGAAAAAAATTGAAGGCTTATCAGAATCATGCAAAAATTGTGCCTATTTGCTGCCTATCAGATGCTTTTCAGTAAAATTACGCTGCATTTCAAAACTGCATTATATATTATTCAGACACCAAAATTCAGAATGTGAAGAAGCTTTATCTTCCATTACCGAATAATTACTTATTATCCCAATGTTCTGCCCATCTCATCAGCTTTGCTAGAGAGAGGCAATGGTTCATCATAACTTGGCACTTCATTAAAAGCATTTTTACAGGGCCAGATAATTACTGTCTCAGCTTCATATCGTGGGGATGCTAAATATTGATAAACACCTTGAATAACTGGGTAGCAATAAAAACATAGATAGAAAACGGCAGATTATATGACAAAGAAACCCAAAATTTAGAGTTCACACATTCTTCGACTTTACCTTCAGCAGTTAGTTTGTAAACAGCTTCAGCTGACACATTGTGGCCAGGATCACAAATTATCCTAGGCTATAATATGATTTGCTTCATACTGGCTTTGTGTGATGCATTCACTCAGTCACTGGGCATTATAAATCATGATTGATAGCATATAATCATTTTGATAAAGAAGCTATGGCTAAAATAAACCACAGCTTAGCATGAGAATGTAGCTATTGTGTTGGAAGTTGAACTTATGTGAACCTGACATGTTGGAAGTGCTCAAGTGCTATCTGTGGTGGGTGATCTGTGATATCTCTTTTTAGTGCAGAAGAGAGTGTTTAGTGTGTATGCCTCTTATTTTCAAGATTTGGGAGTGGTAGCATTCCATAACTTATTAGAGAAAAGGTGGGAAGCCCCATATATATATAATCCAAAATCCCATCTCTGATTTCTTCTAAATTTAATCAGATTATGCCCCCTGTAACTTTCTACAACCAGTAACCAAAGTACATCATGTAAGATGAAGTGCCAGATTACCCTTGTTTCTACCCTTGTTCTGTAATTTAAACATGAATAGATGTGTACATATAGCATGAGTGAACAAAACAATACCAGGCACAGAGGCCTTAATGGGATGCAATATCAGGCAGAGAGTTAATGTTATCATGAAAGACAGGAGGCCAGTCCCCTGTAATTTTAGTACCAGTAGTAATCTTTATTGTATTGTACTTATTAAAGTGACAATAACAGACATAGAAATGGCATGGAATGCTCACAAACCTTTCAGTTTCTTAGTAGAAAAAGCTGTTGGGAGACTTCCTTCACTACAATTAGGGGATGAAAAATAAATGTGTCAGTTTGATTAGCACAGAAAACTTGCTTTAAAAAAAGAACCCTTGTAAATCAGGGGAACAGAAATAATTGGTGGAGCCAAAGAGGTAAGGGAGAAGGAAAAAAGGCATAGACTTGCTAGTTTTAGAATCTGGATAGTCTTGAAGACTCTATATACATGAGCAATTCTATTATGTCACTGTGCTATTCAAGTTAGCTCCAGATTTGTGTCACTGTGACCATGCCTAATATTTCTCTACCATGCAATAGATGGTGCATAGCTCTAGTTCTTCTCCCCAGTCTTCCTGGGCTTGCACATTAGGATGACCTCTGGAATCAGGAGTGTTACCAATACAGATGGCATTTCCTGAGTCTAATAGTATTGCCTGATGTCAGTAAATGTAATGCATTGTTACCCTAAGGAGACAAGAAGAACCAAGCAGTAGAAGCAAGCTGAATTGCAGATGTTACTTTGAACTAATAAGAGAGTTCTTTACTAGTAGACTTCTAATATTTTTAAAGATACACAAAATATTTATGTATGTCTCATTAAAATAGCCAATATAACATAAATTATATCTCACAAATCTTGTAGGCTTAATCTCTCCTTGTTTTTTATGCTGTCCATACATCATTGCAACTTGCCCAAGAAGGATGATTTTTGACCTGATTTTGAAGGATGACACCAGGCAATAGCATCTCAGAATTGTGTTCCCTCTCCTGTATTTTTTGCTAGTTCTAATTCAACTTCATGAAAGACAATTTGCTTTCAAAATCTGTTTCACAGGAGAAGATAATTCAGGGAACATTGACATGGGTGGACTCTCATATATCATACTTACTGTCAAAGACTGTGTATGAATAATCTTTTAGTAGACAATCATCTGTCCAGCAGTATGCAGCTTCCCTGACTTCACTTCCTGTAAGTCCCAAGGGAAGACAGCATGATGAACTTCTTCCATTGTGTTTTTTCAGATCTGAAAGTGTCAGCAGGGAGGCTTCAGAATGATGGAAAGATGTGTGAGAGAAAGCAGAAATGCCAGCAACAACAGTCTCTGCTTCTCACAACAATAAAAAAGCTCAAAAACATAATCAGGAGAAGTGTAAAAGAAATTCTTAGAGGCCCTGAAAATAATTTAGAAAAACAAAAGCCTGATTTACAGAGGAATAAAAATCTTGAGAAATTACGAGGCACATTTTGGCATAATATTTCTTGTGAATGCATGCTGCTAATTGAGGTGTCTGAGTGTACTTTCCATTTCTTCATAATGGCATGCATACCTTCAGTTTAACATTGTTTTAAATATTATAGTGTAATGGAATGCATGGAGGGGTAGCTCCTTGGATATTATTACATGTTGTACCTCTTGAATTCTAAAATAGTGCCCTAACTTTGTTACCTGGGGATAACTCCCCTTTTTCATTTATACTAGATTTATGTATTAAAGCAGATTTATAACAGGGGAAACTCCATTTGTGGCCACTGGGCTTCTTGCCACCTAACACTGTTGCTAGGTTCTTTTAATTAAAGAGAAGTAAATGGGAAATTGATAAGTTACCAAATAGGGCATTAGTCTCTAGCATCTTCGTTATTTACAAAAATACCACCACTCTGTATTCATTGTGGGAGGCTGCAGCCCAGAGCTCTGTTTAGTGTGCCCACCTGCCCAGCAAAAAGGTAAACTGGAATGCTGAAGAGACAGACTGGAAGTGATGGCAGAAAAGCACTTCCCTGTACAAGCTGTGTGATAAGCCAAGTTTTTATATAGCAGCCATTTTGTGATAGTGCCTTCGAGATGCTCTTAACATTTCAAATATGTCCATTAGACAAGAGAACTCCTAGGTCAGGGATAGGCAACGTTTGAAGGGTTGGGGTTTCAAACCCAGCCTCCTGACATTTTGAAGGGCAACAGGAAGCCATCTAATGACATCACTCAATGAACAGAGGTAAAAAATGCTTGGGTTCTTTTGGGGGAAGGTTTATGAGTGGGGAATGGGAAGCTCCTCAGAGGCCTTCTTACAGTTATCCAGCAATAAAAGAAATGGGCTGAAATTATGCTGACAAAATCTGGGCAATTTGTTGCTATCTTTGATCTCAAGATGATCTCAAGATGATCTCATGATCTCAAGATGTTAGGTGGCCCAACGTCCATGGGTTGTATTCTGAAATATTGGACATGACTATGTTCTTTTTAACATAGTTTTGAAAACATTACAAAGTTCTGAAAAGCTGAGTTGGACTTTAAAAAAATGCTGATGAGTTCTCATGGTTAATATCTGTTCATTTTTTTTTTTTTACACTGATATAGCCACAGATGCTAAAAGGAGTTCCATTTTCTTTTCCCAGGCAATAAACCACTTGGATAAAGTTTCATGTTTTCCATAACAACAACAATAATTAAAAATTGATGCTGGTACACACATTGACCATGGAAAACAAACAGGGGTCAGAATCAGCTGACCCAAGGTATGATATATTCAACTGAAAAGCAAACAAGGGGGAAGGGAAGTGGGGGCCTGGCGTATAAAGGAAGACTGCCTGAGGCCAAGAGCTCTGGATAGCAAAGCCAATAAGATATTCAACCCACCCAATATGACTTTATTTTCTATCTCCTGAACAAATAAATATTGAAAAAAATGTTTATCTGTTTCTTTTTAGCAGTGAAAAGAGTTTCCAGCATGTATACATTAAGAGAGGATGTATAGTTGTTTCACAGCACTTAGAGTAAGACAAATATGAATAAAGGTGGGGGTGGGCTGGGGAGGAGGAAAGATGTGGGACAGATACTTGAGCAAAAACATGCTTTAGTAACAGGGGGTCTTGCATGGGCTATAACGTACCATGTCCCACATGCTGATTACTTGAACAGAGCTGCTGCCAAAATAAATTTTCCTTGGACTCTAGAGTTTATGGGATCTGCTTGTCTTGCCAACACAGCAGTTTCTTCCCCACACAAACAGTTCTGCTCTTGCTAGTCAGGGTATAAACAGAGAAGACGCTTAGTTAATTATTTGCATAAAGACAAAGATAGGTGCAATCTGGACTGTACTTTTCTAGCACATCTGTATGAGCACTCATATGAGGTTGTATAATACTTGTTGCAAACCACACAACCACACATATAATGTGCCAGCTACAGTTGTGTTAAAACCATACACAGAACACACATCCATATACACAGATTTATGGAGATGCAGATCTTGCATACCCACATATATAAGTCTACAAGGAGACCAGTACTTCTTTGGCTATAAATTGGCTTGAGCTGACCAGCTAGTCAGAATCCTGATACTCCAGGCAAATTGAAAGTGCCAAGGAAAAGATGTCTCACAGATCGGCACCAGCTTTGTAAAGATAGAACGTCAGGTAGAGTCTTCAGAACATGTTTAATGTTGATGGTGCTGTGCTGCCTGCAGGGAGGGTGATCCACCGCCTGCATAATTGCATTCTTGGTTTGCATTCTTTCACTTTTATCTTAAATCATTTATAATTGGAGTGTGAGGAATATTGCTCATAGCAGCAGCAACAATGTTGTGTGGGAAAATCTTGTGTTAGCAAAACAAGCAAACAGTCCTTTCATGCAAAAATCCTTGTTATCTGTCAAACTTCCTTAATTTCAGCAGCATAATTAGGGGGATACAAAATATTATTTTTTGCTGCTCTTGTTGACAGATGGAAATCAGAAATCCCCATTAATCTGCTAAAAATCTTGGGAAGATCTACCAGTTAGATTTCAATCTACCTTCTAACCACTTCTGCTATAGATACTGTATTATATCTTCTTTTAAGAATGAACTCAGGTATTGAAGATGGTAGAAAAAACAAGTCCTGTGAGATAATAAGTTTTACCCAGTATCCAGCAGTTTCATGTTATGTTCAATTAAACTGTATGTTGCCGTATTTATTTCCAAATCTTACTTCATTCTACTTAAAACCAGACAGAAACAAATTATAAATGAGGAAATCAGTTTAAATTTCTTTAGCATACCATATAGAGCAGATGCAACTCCTGTGTATACAGTGGGGCAAAAAAGTATTTAGTCAGCCACCAATTGTGCAAGTTCTCCCACTTAAAAAGATGAGAGAGGCCTGTAATTTCATCATCACCTCAACTATGAGAGACAAAATGGGGGGAAAAATCCAGAAAATCACATTGTCTGATTTTTAAAGAATTTATTTGCAAATCATGG